CAATTTATTGATATTTCGTATGTTTTATCGATTTTTACAATAACAATTTTCTATGTGGTTGTTGTTGAATTGTTTTTGTTGTAGTTTGGCAGGTTCCTTGTATAATTATACCATGAATAAAACCATACGTTCCTTGGTTGCCACATGACGAATCTATTAGATTTTTTGAATGTTATTTCCAATATCGTGTAGTGCTGAAGGCATTCCTGTTATTATTACAGGAAAGTGGTTCTCTACTACAATATCATCCCCCTTTTAATTTTATAGTTGTGTTGTAAAAATGGATATGAAAAATAAAGGTGAAATCTGAATGGCTTTTGAAAGACCAGTGAACATTATATACTTAGCTGGTTTGTGACAGAACGTTTGTACCATAAGTCGAGCTCAAAAAAGATTTCCAGGTGCGTCGGTCTTGGGCGCAGCTAATCCAATTTGAAAGACCGAGATGTTCCGAGATGTTGTCTCCCACTCCCATATTTCGATCGGATTCGTGGCATTTCCCTTCTGCGTAAACCATAAGCTGGCTCGCTTTTATATGCCTTTTGAACTGGGGCATGCTCATCCATTCTCACAACATGACCTAGCTAACGTAATCGCTGCAGCTCGATACGTCTGACTAGTATGTCGATGTCCGAGAAAAGATGGTATAGCTCATGGTTCATTCGAGGGCGATATTCGCCGTCGACGCAGATAGGTTCATAGATCCTCGCGGAAAATTTTTCTCTCAACAGTCCAAGAGCTGCCTCATCTGGGAGTAGACACGAAATGACTCGTTCAAGAATTATCGTATTGGCCTGATAATTTACAAAATGGCAATCGTGGTAATTGTTGGCGTTGTGCATTTGGAGTTATATTGTGGCCGCTGTTATACAACATCCTATTTAAGTCACTTAGCTCTAGCAAGCGCGTGCTCAACGACTATGTGTTCTAGTGTCCAATCTTTTTAAATATTATTCGAGAATTAATGTGTATCCAGTATAATTTTATGTTAATGGTCAGACAGCCTGTGCCTTTTTGAAAGAATTCCCAGAAGGTCTGGATCGAATTTTTGTGTTTATAGTCTCACCATAGTATGAACAATATCAAATTTCAGGATTTACACCTAGATTATTAGTCTGTTTTGTTTTAGTATTCAGCAGTTTCAAAGGAGAGTTCCAACTGCATCCTCTACCTCTTGGGTTTTGAACCAATGATCCTCGAAATTCATGAACTTCAAAGGAATTAGGCAATGCCTTTTTTCGGCTTCAATTTAAAAAAATATTGGTGGGAAGCAACACTAAAGAAATCTTCATCATCTCATTACTAATAAATTGTATATAGCATTTCCACATTAAATGAACCCTTTTCCAAATTAAATGAACCCTTTTCCAAATTAAATGAAACCTTTTCCAAATTAAATGAAACCTTTTCCAAATTAAATGAAACCTTTTCCACTTGAAATGAAACCTTTTACAAATAGAATGAAACCTTTTCCAATTGAAATGAAACCTTTTACAAATAGAATGAAACTTTTTCCAAATTAAATGAAACATTTATTCTTATCTAAGGAAATATAATATTTGCACTAATTTTAAACCAATATTTGAAAATTAAATCAAAGAATATTAACAAGTATAGTTGTATGGCTATGTAATTAACATAAATATTATTTAATTCGGTGTGATTTCATTTAATATCTTTACTACATAAAACTAAATAAATAGTAATACAAACTGGGGTATTTCTTGACATTTTAATAAATAAATATTTAAGAACAAGAATTGAATACCCGGTCCTAAATGCGAAATACATATTTGACTTAATAAATTGTTGATGATAAGGTAACTGCTTATCTTAATGAAGGGGTTCCCGACTTGCAGCTTGTGGGATTTTCAAAACCATGTCCATAACGTAGTTAGAACAATCTTGCCGAGTAAGCTTTTGAATACTTCGCTCGATTACATCAACAATGTTATGTTCCATTGAAACGTCACACAGCTCAGCTCTTGCACATAATTTTATTTTTGAAAATGCATTTTCGATTGGATTTAGCATTGGAGAATAAGGTGGTAAGAATTTAAGGTTGCATCTTTTGGATTCGATCAAATTTTTTATGTCATGTCGCTTGTGTATTTGAGCGTTATTTTCCAACTCTGGATTGATTTTCTCAAAAAAAATTTCTATAAATAATTTAAATCTGTCTGCATTGACACTGGAATTAGAAACGATTGTGTGATGTACAACTCCCGCGTTGTTTATTGCTGCAATTATAGTGACATTACGACCTCTGACCGTAGGCAACACAATGTGTGCTCTTGTTCCTTGTCTTGAACGGGCTTGGGTTCTTCGTATGTGAAGATTAAATCCACACTTATCAATGAATATAAATTTTTCTCCTTGTTGGGGTATCCATTTTGTAAAGTCTTGAGCATATTTTTGTCTCAAGCCTAATGTTCTGGAGTCATTCTTTCGTTCTATTTCAATAGAGGCCATCTTAAACGTAATTTTTAATTTCCGTAATCCATATTCTATGCAGCTTGTGGAAATATTTATATCATTTTCTGTCAACAGTTTAGTTTTTATGGCTTTGAGGGTAATTCCAGTTTGACTTTCTACATAGAACTCGATCAGACTTAAAACTTGTGATGTCAACAACTTAATTCTATTTCCTCCACGCTTATTTTCCTTCAATGTTCCAAAATGTTGTTTGTAATTACTTCACATTGTCGAGAGTTTACTGTTTTGGATGTTCACATTATCGAGAGTTCACTGTATTTAAAAATAGCCACGTTTAAAATAAATGCGAACCTGATTTTAGCTCGGGAAGCTCTGATAATTGGGAACCTGAGGAAGAATCAATATCCTCGCCAAGTATTGCAAGTGGAAATGATCCAGAACCTACCGAAGCTACATCTACAAGACCCCGAAACAAATTGGGTCAGTACAACAAAAGACATGAAATTGTTATTATTTAAATTCTATGAAGAGGGGAGAACCATTTCCGAGGCTGCAAATTTAATCTGCATAAACATAAATTCCGAAAAAAACATTTATATGAAGATACAAACAAAATTTTGGAACATTGAAGGAAAATAAGCGTGGAGAAAATAGAATTAAGTTGTTGACACCACAAGTTTTAAGTCTGATCGAGTTCTATATAGAAAGTCAACCTGGAATTACCCTCAAAGCCATAAAAACTGTTGAGAGAAAATGATATAAATATTTCCACAAGCTGCATAGAATATGGATTACGGAAATTAAAAATTACGTTTAAGATGGCCTCTATTGAAATAGAACGAAAGAATGACTCCAGAACATTAGGCTTGAGACAAAAATATGCTCAAGACTTTACAAAATGGATACCCCAACAAGGAGAAAAATTTATATTCATTGATAAGTGTGGATTTAATCTTCACATACGAAGAACCCAAGCCCGTTCAAGACAAGGAACAAGAGCACACATTGTGTTGCCTACGGTCAGAGGTCGTAATGTCACTATAATTGCAGCAATAAACAACGCGGGAGTTGTACATCACACAATCGTTTCTAATTCCAGTGTCAATGCAGACAGATTTAAATTATTTATAGAAATTTTTTTTGAGAAAATCAATCCAGAGTTGGAAAATAACGCTCAAATACACAAGCGACATGACATAAAAAAATTGATCGAATCCAAAAGATGCAACCTTAAATTCTTACCACCTTATTCTCCAATGCTAAATCCAATCGAAAATCCATTTTCAAAAATAAAATTATGTGCAAGAGCTGAGCTGTGTGACGTTTCAATGTAACATAACATTGTTGATGTAATCGAGCGAAGTATTCAAAAGCTTACTCGGCAAGATTGTTCTAACTACGTTATGAACATGGTTTTGAAAATCCCACAAGCTGCAAGTCGGGAACCCCTTCATTAAGATAAGCAGTTACCTTATCATCAACAATTTATTAAGTCAAATATGTATTTCGCATTTAGGACCGGGTATTCAATTCTTGTTCTTAAATATTTATTTATTAAAATGTCAAGAAATACCCCAGTTTGTATTACTATTTATTTAGTTTTATGTAGTAAAGATATTAAATGAAATCACACCGAATTAAAGAATATTTATGTTAATTACATAGCCATACAACTATATTTGTTAATATTCTTTGTTTTAATTTTCAAATATTGGTCTAAAATTACTGCAAATATTATATTTCCTTAGATAAGAATAAAGGTTTCATTTAATTTGGAAAAAGTTTCATTCTATTTGTAAAAGGTTTCATTTCAATTGGAAAAGGTTTCATTCTATTTGTAAAAGGTTTCATTTCAAGTGGAAAAGGTTTCATTTAATTTGGAAAAGGTTTCATTTAATTTGGAAAAGGTTTCATTTAATTTGGAAAAGGGTTCATTTAATTTGTAAAAGGTTTCATTTAATGTGGAAATGCTATATATAAAAAAAAACTAAATATAAAATCTAATTTCAGATCCGCGACAGTAATACAAATCATTTAAAACGCCGATTACCAGCATTATAGAACTTATACATTGAACACCAAAGTAAGTTAAAAAAAAAACGATATAAATGTTAAAGTTTTTAATAAATGTTTTATTTTTTCCTTAGGTGCAGCAAAAAAAAAAATGTTTTGAGAAGCAGCAGGACACAAGAAAGGAAAACAAGGAAGTCTGTCCAGAACAAATATTACGACTTCCTTGCTCTCATTCATAGCACATCAAATCAAACTTATCAACATAATTGTTGTTGTTATTGTACGAACACAAGCAAAGAAGAAACAAAAGCCCGACTTTGAAACCGAAAGTAGGACGCTTCTTTTGTGCGTGTATGCTCTTGTGTTGTTATGTACAAACGACTACGAGCCGATTACGACCGGAAATTTGTGAACTGAAAAAAGAACACTACATAACAATCTAGCGAACGAACCACACAATCAAACCTCTATTCTTCTTCATCTCACATAAAGACATTTTGAATAAGAAAGAAATCAAAATAATTCCAGAGAAGAGTTGAAGTCGCCTCAATATGACGAAAATATGTTGGAGCGGCGCTGTTAGCAGCCGCTTCAAGCTAACAACTCTTATCAATCGCCGTTTGATTCTTGCTTTGGTAGCTGTATTGTGTGTGGCGTGTTTAATTGATACAACAAGTGGCCAGCATGCTGGACGCCGTGATAGACCCCGTAATCCACCACGACAATACATAAAAACACATCCCTGCGAAAGATCGTCGTGTTATCCGGCCACGGGTAATTTACTCATTGGTCGTGAACATCGTCTGTCAGCCTCATCAACATGTGGTCTAAATTCACCCGAACGTTTCTGTATCCTCTCTCACTTGCAGGATAAGAAATGTTTCCTTTGCGACACAAGGGAGGAGACACGAAATGACCCCTTCAAGAATCATCGTATTGGCCAGATTATTTACAAAACCAAACCTGGCACATCCACACCCACTTGGTGGCAGTCGGAAAATGGTCGCGAAGATGTGTCGATCCAATTGGATTTGGAGGCTGAATTCCATTTCACCCATTTAATTATGTCCTTTACCACTTTCCGGCCGGCGGCTATGTTTATCGAGCGCTCATTTGATTTTGGTCAGACGTGGCATGTTTATCGCTATTTCGCCTACGATTGTGCCGATTCATTTCCGGGTGTACCAACGGTGTTGCGCAACATTACTGATGTGGTTTGTACATCGCGTTATTCGAATGTGGAACCTTCCCGTAATGGTGAAGTTATTTTCCGTGTGTTGCCACCAAACATTAATGTTTCCGATCCCTACGCTCCCCACGTCCAGAATATGTTGAAGGTAACCAATTTACGTGTGGTGTTCAAGAAACTTCACAAGCTGGGTGACAACTTGCTGGACAATCGTCTGGAAAATGAGGAGAAATACTATTATGGTATCAATAATATGGTAGTGAGAGGTTCTTGCTCGTGTTATGGTCACGCCTCCCAATGTCTGCCTTTGGATGGTTCTGATACCAGTGAACCGGACATGGTGCATGGTCGCTGTCAATGTACCCACAATACGAAGGGTTTGAATTGTGAAACCTGCGAGGACTTCTTCAACGATTTCCCTTGGAAACCGGCCTTCGGCAAGCAGACAAATGCCTGTAAGAAATGCGAATGTCACGACCATGCTGTTAGCTGTCACTTCGACGAGGCAGTGTTCGAAGCATCTGGCCGTGTTTCGGGAGGTGTGTGCGATAATTGTATGCACAACACCCAGGGTCAACATTGTGAGGAGTGTATGCCATTCTTCTATCGCGATCCCAATGAAGATATACGCAGCCCCTATGTGTGTAAGCCGTGTGAATGTGACCCCGTCGGTTCATTGGATGAGGGTATTTGCGACTCACCCGATCCTGATACACCCGATGTGGAAGCTGGTTCTTGCCATTGCAAAACCAATGTCAAGGGTAGACGTTGTGACACCTGTAAAGATGGTTTCTGGAATTTGATTTCCGAAAATCCCGATGGCTGTGAACCGTGCAGCTGCAACACCTTGGGTACAGTAGACAATTCCGGATGTGACATGTATACCGGTGAATGTAAATGTAAACGCTTGGTCACCGGCAAAGATTGTAATCAATGTGCTGCCCAAACATATGGACTGTCGGAATCCGAAGATGGTTGCACACCTTGTGGCTGTGATGCCGGTGGTTCCTATGACAATTTCTGTGATGTCATTACCGGTCAGTGTCGCTGCCGCCCACACATGACGGGTCGTACATGTTCTCAACCCAAACAAAACTATTTCATACCACAATTGCACATCACCCACGAAGCTGAAAATTACCAACACTGCGTTTCCTATTCCAGTGGTAACGGCAATTGCTCAGTCATACCCTATCCCCAGACACCGGATCGCCAACCCGAATGGACTGGCATTGGTTATATTCGCGTACCAGAGAATTCCGAATTGACTATAACTGTGATGGACATACCCCGTTCGATGCCATACGATGTGGTCATACGTTATCAGTCCACATCACGTGGCGACTGGGAAGATGCCTACATAACATTGGTGCGTCCTGATGAAATTGATCCGGAGGGAGATTGCGCTGATCTTGTACCACCAGGCTCTAGTGTTTATGAATCGCATGTGCCGTTTGTTTTGCCCGATCGCGAACGCCAAGTTATTGCCTTACGCGAAGTATGCCTCGAAGCAGGAAAAATGTATAAATTCAAAATACACTTTGAACGAAGACGCCACAATGAAGATAACCCCACCTCGACTATTTTGATTGATTCATTGACTCTGATACCGAGAATCGAGTTGACCAGCATTTTCCGTGGTTCTCCTGAGGCCGATTCTCGCCGTATTCTATACTATCAAATGGGTTGTAATCAATCATTGTACGACATCCGTTACAGCAGTTTTGCTGATGAACGTTGCAAGGAGTTGGAGGACTATGTGAGCACGGTGATTTACGATGGTGCCAGCATGTGTAATTGTAACCCCACCGGTTCTCTGAGTAAGGAATGTGATCCCCATGGTGGCTACTGTCAATGTAAACCGAATGTTGTGGGACGCCAGTGTGACCAATGTGCTCCTGGCACCTATGGTTTCGGCCCCGAAGGCTGCAAGGCTTGTGATTGTAACAGTATCGGAGCCAAGGACAATAATTGCGATGTACTGACGGGTCAATGTTCCTGCCACCCTAATACCTATGGGCGTGAGTGTGATCAGTGTCAGCCCGGTTTCTGGAACTTCCCCAACTGCCAAGCCTGCGAATGTAATGGTCATGCCCAACAATGTGATGCCCGCACTGGTCAGTGTTTGAATTGTGCTGACTACACCACTGGTTATGGTTGTGATTCCTGTTTGGATGGTTACTATGGAAATCCCTTCTTGGGCAGTGAAATTGGTTGTCGTGCCTGTCGTTGTCCCGACACCATTGCCAGTGGCAATGCCCACGCTGACGGCTGTTCCTTGGACGTACGCGATAACAACATGATCTGTCACTGTCAGGAGGGTTATGATGGACCACGTTGTGACATTTGTGCCGATAATTACTTTGGTGATCCCGAGGTACCCGGTGGCTCTTGCCAGAAATGTGATTGTGGCAACAACATTGACATTTACGACACCGGCAACTGTGACCGCCGCACTGGCAAATGTCTGAAATGTTTGTACGACACAACCGGTGATCATTGTGAGTTGTGTCGCGATGGCTACTTCGGCAATGCCTTAGAACAAAATTGTGTGCCATGTGATTGTGATTTCTTGGGTACCAACAGCACCGTCCAGTTCTGTGATCGTGTAAGCGGCCAATGTCCTTGCCTGCCCAATGTGGTTGGTGTACGTTGCGATGAGTGTGCTCCCAATCATTGGAAGATTGCCTCTGGTGAGGGTTGTGAGGCATGTGAATGTGACCCAATTGGATCTTTGTCGGAACAATGTAACCGCTATGATGGCCAATGTGAATGTAAGGAAGGCTTCGGTGGCCGTGCCTGTAACCAATGTCAAGCCAATTACTATGGTAATCCCAACAAAGAGTGCCATCCTTGCGACTGTGATCCCTATGGTTCAGCTGATTTCCAATGTGATCGGGAGACGGGACAATGTGTTTGTCACGAGGGCATTGGTGGCCATAAGTGCAATGAATGTGCCCGTGGCTATTTGGGAGAATCACCACACTGCATGCCTTGTGGAGAGTGTTTCAACAATTGGGATTTGATTTTGAAGGAATTGGAAGAGGCCACAAGCGAGACCATTCGTCGGGCCAGTGAAATTAAACTGATTGGTGCCACCGGTGCCTACACCTCTGAGTTCAACACCTTGGACAAGAAATTACAACATATCCGCGATCTTTTACAAAACACCTCCGTCAGTTTGAAGGATATTGACAGCTTGGACAAGGAAGTTGCGGAAATGAAACTCAAATTGGGTAATGCCCACCAGAAGCTGTTGGACACTGAAAACAATCTAGAAGATATTTATTCGTCCTTGAGTTTGTCAGCCGTGGAGGTAGAGGCTTTACAAACTCAGTCTGAATTGGTAAAGAAACTGTCCAAGGAATTGAAGGAACATGGCATACAATTGCAGGAATCCAATATAGAAGGTGCCCTCAATTTGACACGGACTGCCTATGAAAAAGTACAAGATTTGTCGGAGGTTAAGAAGAAGGCCGAAGAACTTGCCTCGAACACTGATCGCAACTGCAAGCGTGTCGAGACACTGGCCAACAAAATGAAAGAAGAATCCTCGGCAGTGGAGACCAGTGATGAACTCATCGAACAATATCGTGAAGAATTGTCCAGCCTAACAGCCATGATACCAGAATTGAACAACGATGTATGTGATCGTATGGGTGATCCGTGCGACAATATTTGTGGCGGTGCCGGTTGTGGTTCGTGCGGTGGTTTGTCATGCGAACGTGGCGCCTTGACACGTACCGAAAAGGCACTGAAGGTTGCCAAGGACACGGAACAAGAAATCAAGGAGAAGAAAGACCAAGCTGATCAGACCATACGTTCCCTATTCCAGGCTAAGGTAAATGCCTCAGAAGCCTACCAAAAATCAAAATCTGCTCACGAAGATGCCGAACGTTATTTGAACCGCACCCTTTTAAACATCAAACGTGGTGAGGAGATGATTGAAAATCTTAACGAATTCATGTCCAACGAAACTGCCTTGCCTGGTGAATCGAAGGACTTGGCACAACAAACTTTGACATTGGATTTGACACTGGATCCCAACGAGATTCAGACACTGGGCGGCAAAATCAATGATGCCGTTTCTTCGTTGAAAAATGTGGAGGCAATTATTTACAGTACCCGCGAAGATTTGCAACGTGTCAATGAACTGCAAGCCATTGCCAATAATACCAAGGAATTGGCCAATAATATTCTGCAAACTGCCAATACCGTGGTGGAAAATCTCAACGATGCCGATGAGGCACAGAGCAAGGCGGGCGATGCCATTACCCAAGCCAAGAGTAATATTGAATTGGCTGCCCAAGATCTTGACCAAATCGATAATGAAACGGGAGAAGCAGAGGCGCCAGCCAATGCCACGGTACAACATGTCGAAGAGCTAGCCAAAAAGGTGGCACGCCTGCAAAAGAACATCCTGAAAAATGAACTCGATGCCAAGGATGTGAAAAACGAAGCGGACAAGGTGAAAGAATCGGCAAAGAGCGCTCGAGAAGATGCCCGCAAATTGCAGAATGCCTCGAATGTTGCCAATCAAACGCTCACCGATCGTGCTGTACGTTCAGAAAATGCACGTGATCGTGCCAAGAAGCTGCTGCAGAGAGCCTCTAAACTGACGGTGGAAACTAAGGAACAATTGCGTGAATTGAAACTCATGCAAGATTCGTACAAAGAAAAGAGTGATCAACTGCTGAAGCTGCAAGAGGGTCTAATACCATTGCAAGATGAGCTAGCGCATCATTTCAAAAATATTAAGGCCAATGCAGAGCGTTATATACAATGTTAAAGAGGGGATTTTGGAAGAAAAATGAGAGACGTTTATTATTCAACAAACTCTTATCTACTTAAAGAAATGAAAACAACAACAAAAAAACAAAAACCTCTTTAATTTTTTATACATATAGGTTTAATTACGATTTTTTAAATTAAAATATATATATTTTCGAGATAATGATGATGATGTATGCAACAAAGCCGCCATAACGAAGAAACTACCAGTACATTGTTTATTGTAATTTTTCATACTGCACCAATACAAAGTCCCCCACCACCGCCTCAACAGCCCCCTTTCCTTATTTAAGTCTATAATTTGTGTATGTCAAAGCAATGTTATTAGCAATATAGTTGTGTGTGTAATAAATAATAAGTTCCCCAACACCCTCCCTCCACTCCTGCCTCATCCCATAGTATAATTTTAATAATTTTAATAAATTTTAAAAACAAAATGCAATATCATGTACTCCTTCGACCCAACAAACAATTCTTTAATAATTTAGTGTTAAACGAACATAAGTTTTTTTTCTTATTGCAATTATAGAATGTGCCTTATTTTTTGAAAAGAAAGATCCCCTCCGATTATAGTCTTAATTATATAATATTTTTTGAACAAAAATACAAATATTCGAATATGCCATAAAATTTAAGAAAATTTTTTGTATTTAAAATATAAGGGTGAAAGGTAAATAACGACGAAGTCATACCATAACGAAATAATGCCGCCTCGTGCAGCATTAGGCCGCTTCCATTTACCGTACTACACCCGAACTCATTTCTTCTTCTTTTTTTATACTTTCATACTATTACAAACGAATCATACATTTTATATAGAGTACATACATATATATTGGATAATTAATAATGTGAAATAAATAAATACAAATTTATAATAAAAAGAAATATTTGTACATATTATCTATCTATATATATAAAAGAGCTTAGTGTTAAGTGAGTGGGTGAGTGAGTGAGTGACTGACTGACAGATCATCGCCCAGACGAAACGGCTAAAGCTAGAAGCCTAAAATTTTGAGTGTGGGTTGTTGTTGGTGTGTAGGCGTGAGATAAGGCTGGGTTTTTGGAAATTCGAACTAGAAGGGTACGAAAAGTACTAAAATGTACCAAATATGGTACCCTTTGTATTAGGCGAACGGGGATAGCTAGAATTCTGAAATTTGGAATGTTGGTCACTGATGGAAAGTTAGGAAGATGTACAAAAGCGTTTTTGGAAATTCGACCTATAAGTGTACTAAAAGTACTAAATTTAGTTCTAATTGAATATATTTTGAACATATATAGCTAAAATCTAGAAATTTTATATAGAATACAGGTTGGAAAGTGGTGTTGATGTATGGAAATGGTTTAAGATTTTCGTACTTATGTTTTTTAAAAATTACTAAATGGTACTAAATTTGGTACTATTTGCATTTAGTTGAGTGTATATAGATGGAATCCTGAAAATATCAATTAGGACTACTATTGGAGTACACGAATGAGGTAGCTTTAAAAAATTGTACGTATGTGTACGAAAAGTACCAAATGGTACTAAATTTGGTGCAAGTTGGATTTACGTGAACATAGAGTCTTCAAATTGACTGTTGGAGTGTAGGATTGAGGTGTTTAAGAAATGGGTAATTATTGGTACAAAAAGTACTAAATGGTACTAAATTTAGTACTATTTGCATTTTGCTTGAACGAAAAGATGTGAAAACATGAAATTTGGAATTAATATTTATGTTAATGATTGAGCTATACCGAGAGACAATTTGGAAATTCGTATTTACGTGTACGAAAAGTACTAAATGGTACTAGATTTTGTACAATTTGGATTTGGGTGAACGGGGAGAGCTGGAAACCTTAAATTTGAAACAATGGTTGCTGTTAAAATATATAATTGAGATATGGAAGCATAGTACTTATGTGTACTTAATGGTACTATAGTTGGTACAACTTGATTATATCTATATATATAAAAGAGCTTAGTGTTAAGTGATTGAGTGAGTGAGTGACTGACAGATCATCGCCCAGACGAAACGACAAAAGCTAGAAGCTTGAAATTTTGAGTGTGGGTTGTTGTTGGTGTATAGGCGTGAGATAATCCTGGGTTTTTGGAAATTCGAACTAGAAGGGTACGAAAAGTACTAAAATGTACCAAAAATGGTACCCTGTGTATTAGGCGAACGGGGAGAGCTAGAATTCTGAAATTTGGAATGTGGGTCACTGATGGAAAGTTAGAAAGATGTACAAAAGGGTTTTTGGAAATTCGACCTATAAGTGTACTAAAAGTACTAAACATTACTAAATTCAGTACTAGTGGTATATATATTGAACATATATAGCTAGAATCATGAAATTTTATGTGGAATTCAGGTTGGAAAGTGATGTTGTTGTATAGAAATGTTTTAAGAAATTCGTATTCGAATTTTTATACATATAAAAAGTACAAAATGGTACTAAATTTGGTACTATTTGCATTTAGTTGAGTGTAAAATGATGGAATCCTGAAAATGTGAATTAGGACTACTATTGGAGTACAGGAATGTGTTAGCTTTAAAAAATCGTACTTATGTGTACGAAAAGTACTAAATGGTACTAAATTTGGTGCAAGTTGGATTTAGGTGAACCGAGAGAGCTGTAGTCTTCAAATTGGGAATTAAAATGACTGTTGGAGTGTTGGATTGAGGTAGTTTAGGAAATTCGCACTTATTGGTACGAAAAGTACTAGATGGTACTAACTTTAGTACAATTTTGATTTTGTTTGAATGGATAGAGCTGAAAACCTCAAATTTGAAATTTTGGTTACTGTTGAAGATTGAGCTATAGAGACATATTTGGAAGTTCGTATTTATGTGTACGAAAAGTACTAAACGGCACTAGATTTGGTATAATTTGGATTTGGGTGAACAGAGAGAGCTGGAAACCTTAAATTAGGAAAGTTGGAATATAGAATTGAGATATGGAAGCATAGTACTTATGTGTACTAAATGGTACTATATTTGGTACAACTTGACTAAGTGTGAACGGATAGAGCTATACTCCAGAATTTTGGAATTTAAATTACTGTTGGAGGATTGAAGTAGTTTAGAGCATTTTTAATTATAGAAACAAAAAGTACTAATTGGTACCAAATGGTTTACAAAATGTTTTAGTGTGAACGGATAGGGCTGAGAATTGCAATTTTGATTTTAAATTACAGTTGGAGAGCAGGAGTAAATATGTGTACTAATAGGTACTAAATTTGGCAAAATTTATATTTGGGTGAACGGATAGAGATGAAAATTTTGAATAAAATTTGGAATGAAAATGACAGGGTTATTGTATTATTGGAATTTCGTACTTATGGATACGTGAAGCACTAAATAGTACTAAATATGGTACAATTCGTTTTGTGTGAACGGGAATCCTAAAATTTGGAATTAAAATTAAGGTTAGAGTGTAGGATTGAGACATGGTGGTAGTTTTGAAAATGCGTAATTATATGTACTAAATGGTACTAAGTTTAGTACAATTTAGATTTGAGTGAAAGGATGGATATGGAAAACTTATAATTGAAAATAAAATTACTGTTAGAGTATAGGATTTAGACAGTGTTGGAAATTAAAACTCATAAATAGGAAAAGTACTAAATGGTACTAAATATGGTACAATTTGGATCTATGTGAAAAGATAGGGCTGGGATCCTGAAATTTATGATTAACATTACTGTTGCAGTGTGGAATTGAGGCAGTTTTAAAAACTCGTACTTATGTCTACGAAAAGTAATAAATGGTACCAAATTTGGTACAATTTGGATGTTGGTGAACGGATAGAGCTGGAATCTTTAAATGTGATCTTAAGGGTATTATTGGAGTACATGACTAAGGTAGTTATGGAAATTCGTACTTATGGGTACGAAAAGCACAAAATTTGGTACAATTTTACTTTGGTGAACGGGTAGAACTAGAATCCCGAAAGTTGCAACTAGAATCCCGAAAGTTGCAACTAGAATCCCGAAAGTTGCAACTTAGGTTGGGATTGTAGGAAAATTACAGAATGGTACAAATCTGGTACAATTTAGTGAAAATACAGAACTGAAATTTTTAAATTTGGACTTATTGATTACTATTTAAAAGCAGGTTTGGAATATTGAGGTAGGTTTGAAATAGGGATACGAAACATTAAACATTTTTATTTATGGGTGTGAATTGGTTGAAACCTTAGATTTGGGATTTATATTACTTTAAAGTGTGGTATTACGCTATGGAGACAACATTGGAAACTCGAATTTATGTGTACGAATAGTAGAAATAAATATAAATAAATAAATAGAAATAAATATAAAATGCATTACATTTTGATAAGAATTCTGATCTATTTTTAATGTGTAATGGAAATAGGAAAGAGATTTCGGAATATAGTGATTATGTGTATGAAGAGTACTGAATGTTAATAAACATGATATTAGCTGTAGGAATAGAAGTGGAACTATATAGAACTATGGTACAACAAATTATACCGTATTCACGATTTCCATATGAAATGTTATTATTATTTTTGTATTCCTTTCCGCATACGAAGTAGCGGGCACTTTGCTAGTATATATATAAAAGAGCTTAGTGTTAAGTGAGTGAGTGAGTGAGTGACTGACTGACAGATCATCGCCCAGACGAAACGGCTAAAGCTAGAAGCTTGAAATTTTGAGTGTGGGTTGTTGTTGGTGTTTAGGCGTGAGATAAGGCTGGGTTTTTGGAGGTTCGTACTAGAAGGGTACGAAAAGTACTAAAATGTACCAAATATGGTACCCTTTGTATTAGGCGAACGGGAAGAGCTAGAATTCTGAAATTTGGAATGTGGGTCACTGATGGAAAGTTAGAAAGATGTACAAAAGGGGTTTTTGGAAATTCGACCTATAAGTGTACTAAAAGTACTAAATGTAGTTCTAATTCTACATATATTGAACATATATAGCTAAAATCTTGAAATTTTATATATGAAATTTGGAAGTAAGATTACAGTTGAAATTCGCATTTATAT